GTGGCTGGTGGGTTTGAACCGCCAGCCTTCTGGTTAGCAGTCAAGTGCCTTAGCCACTATGCTACCAGAGCTCCATATATATAATATACAGGACAGTTTTATAACCCTCCAAGTTCTTCTCATTCTGCTATATAGTTAACCCTTACTCCCAGCCCCTGGTAACCACAAATCTATTTTTGTCCCTATAGTTTTGTCTTTTCAAGAAATTATGTAAATAGAGCCATATAATGTCTTCTTTGAATCTGATTTCTTTCACTTAAAATAATGTGTTTGAGATTCATTTATCTTGTTACATGTATCAGTAGTCAGTGTTGGATTACCTAATACACAAGGTTAGCATGGGTTTACTTATGCTTACTTACTAATCTGCAGTGAATAATTTCACTTTTTTTTTTTTTTTACCACCTCAAAGATTCTGCTTCTAGGTAGAGCTGGCATGTGTCTCTATCTCAACCCCACAGCACTTCTTACAGAATCAAACCCTGCCTCTTTTCAAATAAATAATCCCTGACAAGGATGAAGTACCCAGTACACAAGGTACACAGGGGCTTACTTGTGCTTACTTACTAATCGGTATTTTTTCACTCTGTGGCAAAAAACATGTGAAACTATTCATTACAGACTAGGAAGTAAGGGCAAGTAAGCCTATACTTACTTGCCTATACTGTACTTACTTGCCTATACTATACTTACGCTGCTTATTGCGTACTCTGGCCCTGAGTAGTTTGTTCCTTTTCATTGCTTAGTAGTCAATTGTATGGATATACCACAGTTTAATTTATTCATTCATCAACTTAAAGATACCTGGGTTATTATCAGTTTTGGTGATTGTGACTAAAGCGTCTAAAATTACTCACAAACAAGTGTTGTGTGAATATAAGTGATGATTTCTTTTGAGTAAATACCTAGGAATGGGATTAATATTTTCCAAAATGGTTGTATTAGTTTTGCATTCTCTGTAGCAATTTTTGAGGATTCTAGTTGTTCCACATCCTCACCAGGACTTGGTGCTGTCAGTTGTTGCTTGTCTTTAATTTTAGTTATTCTAAAAGGTCACTGGGTGGTGTAAATATTTTTCTCTTGACTGCTGTTGCTGTTGTTATGTGCCATTGAGTCGGATCTGACTCATAGCAACCCCTCCTTGGGTTTCCGAGGCAGTATCACTACAGAAGTAGATTTCCCCATCTTCCTTCCGAGGAGTGGCTGGTGGGTTTGAACTGTCAGCCTTCTGGTTAGCAGTCAAGTGCTTTAGGCACTATGCTACCAGAGCTCCTTTCTCTTGACTACTAACTGAAAGTTTGGCAGTTCAAATCTACTTAGAGGTGCCATGTAAGAAAGACTTGACAATTTACTCCCATAAGATTACAGCCATTCAAAACCCCACGGAGTGCAGTTTTACTCTGAAACACACACAGTTGCCATGAGTTGGGGATCAACTTGAAGTCAATGGATTTATGAGGTGTGTCATCATCATCATGCACTGTCAAGTCGGTTCTCACTCATAGTGACCCTATAGGACACAGTAGACCCTACAGAATATAGAAAACCTAGGAAGCTCCACAGGTTTCCTAGGCTGTAATCTGAACAGAAGCAAATCATCAGGTTTTTCTCTCACAGAGTTAGAAACTCTGACCTTTTGGATAACAGCTGAGCACTTAACCATTGTGCCATCAGGGCTCTGTAATAGATATAAAGGAAGGAAGATGGGGAAACCTACTTCCGTAGTGATACTGCCTCAGAAACCCAAGAAGGGGTTGCTATGAGTCAGGTCCGACTCAACGGCACATAACAACAACAACAATTTTTGTTTTAAAAAAGCATTTTTCTGATGACTAATGATATTATCCTTTATGTGGATAATTAATATTTGTATTTTTGTGGGTGATGTGTTCAAATTTTGTGCTCATTTTTTAAGATTATTTTATGTCATTAATAACTTTGGAAGGTTCTCTATATTTTGATAAAAAAAAAAAAAAAAAAAAACCTCACTGCCTTTGAGTTGATTCAATGCATAGCAACCCTTCATTGGGTTTCTGAGGCAGTGTCTCTTCAGAAGTAGATTGCCCAATCATCCTTCCAAGGAGTGGCTGATGGGTTTGAACTGCCAGCCTTTTGGTTAGCAGTCAAATGCCTTA